CAGGATAACTTAAATTTACCTTGTCTTGTCTGCGATATCACAGTAAGTGAACGTAAGCTATATCTCACAATCAGAAGGAAATTTAGATGGGAGGCTATGTCAAGCCAATGGCGTGGGTCGCAGAGCCAGGGCGAAATGTATGTTGACAAACAAACCAATAAAGGTCGTATAGATAGCCTACAGTTCAATTTTACCTGCACTGAACCTTGTTGAATTTTGTCTTTATATTTTGGAGTCAGCTCAACGAATAATTTACCCAGCATTTGAAATCCACATTTCCTCCATATAGCCTTGACTAAAATCCCCAAAATATATCTATGAACCCATTCTCCGAAACTATATAGTATATAACCATTCCTCTGGGATTGAGACCGCTGTGGAATTATACGTCAATATAATAAGCTACATGGTTTGCATCCCTATCAATAATTATGGCGAGTAATCCTACTAAAAGGACGCCCGGTTTCCTATTGCAATAAAGGTTCTTGATACAATACCATTGATCGACTTACATCAAATTTTATATCATTGGGTGATCACAAAGACAATATGATCAGTTAAATCATAGTAATAAATAATGTCTTTTGATCGGTCAGGGCGTTATCAATAGAGAGATGCGTAAGGAGGCGCTACTAGATATTAAACGTTTTGTTAGGAATAACTGGATTAATATCCGCTTCTAGTGTCTTTCCTAGTTAATTGAGTTTAGTTATGACACGTCAGGTAGCGCCAAATAAATGACACCCAGTAATGTCATTTCATAAAGGCGTAGTATGGTAATTATATTTGTTAATGAAACTACGGTATTATATTTATATAGGTCGTTGTTATAAGACGAGAACAAGACGTCATTATTTCACTCTCACAATCATTATGGTTAAACTTGATCTGGAATAATTTCACCACATAGGTAATATTAGTTTATAATTAAAATAACACTTTGCACCGTCCTATTCGGCTAGAAATTTTTAGACGGGGAGGGCGAAGCGATTTTGCCAAGATTTTTTTTATGAGTATAATTAGAACGCCACGCTAGGCGAAGCTATAACTTTCGGCATTATTTTGTGTTGAGTAAAGAAAATGGCTACCAAGCAGAAACAACCATTGCATAACGATGTGTACTGAGTCAAGTTTGATACATTGTTAACGAAGACATGCCTGTTCTTTTTTCGAATTCCAACTGCCAAGGGTTCTTTTACGTGCAAGTCAATGTGTACACGCGAAATTTATTTGTGTCCCATCCTAACGACTAGACACTGTTCCGCGCTATATCCACTACCAAGCGGAAACCACACCGTTCTTAATGGAAATGAAATGAAATGGGGTTTAATGTTCTAATGTTCAGCTCCGGACTGGGCTAATGAAGACGGGCACACGCCATACAGTATGCTACGGCCTACTCTTATATCGAATTCCAACTGTCAAGGGATCTTTTACGTACACGCCAATGTATACACGGGACCTCGGTTTTTCGTCCCTTCCGAACAACTAGACAGCTGTAACAGTTCTTGTCAGGCCTTTCATCCTGCATTACCGACAAGGGGGAACCACGCCGGAAAATCTGGATGAACTTTCTCGGCTAATGCTGGTATCGAACACCCGACCTCCAGGCTAGCGAGCCAGCGTCTTACCCACTTAGCCACCGTGACCCCCGTTGATAATGGAGACCCTCAGTAAATAGTAGAGCATAAATTACAAGCGAAACTATACTTCCGTCTAGCATTTCAGAGCTAAAAGTTAATCGCACAGCTATCATTAATCACATCAAGCCAGCCCGATTCTGTGCATTAATTTCTAGGGGCTCATCTTCTTTAAATATCACAGTGACCTGGTAGTTTGTTGTATTCGTGATTTTGCCACCAGATATACTCATTTTATTCGACACGCTAAAAACAATATTATAATAAATATTATTTGAAGTAGCATGCCATGAGACTGAGGGATATACTTTTCTGATGAATGCAAAAATGTACGCACGCGTTTTGTACAGCCAGCTAATTTCTAAACATGGATATTATCATGAGATTTCACTTCACAATTCCCCAGCTTTTTATTTTCAATTTAAAACTTTTTTCAGGACCAAACTGCAGATTAACTCAATAGAAATATCTTCCGCCCCCCCCCCCCCGATCGTTTAGTGAAACGTGTGTGGGCGGGACAATTCATACCTTGCAGGAAGAGAATTATTTAATAATAATATTCCATGCTAAAATAGTTTGAACTTAAATCAATCTTCGTCTTAAACACAATGGAAGTCGCATATTTTTATACCAGTAAGCAGCGATTCAAATTCTAACAAAGCTCAAATTGTGTAAACGTGTTCTTTCTATTACAGGCCTATGAATGCGAAATACAAAACGTGAAATATACATCACCAAATTTTTTTTAATTTTTTATATAAGTGCGTAATAAAGGCAAATAAAGAATGGGACTGTCTCAATTTGCTGACTAACTAGACAAGAACAACTTTTTTTTTTCTTTTTTAAAAAAACTTTTCGATTTCCATATCAGTACGTAAAAAGTCAACCAAAGAAAAGGACTGGCTCAATTTTATGACGACCAGACACGTTGCACAATTTGTTTTTTGTTAAAATCCCCTCTAGGTTTTTAAACACTATAGAGATGGTGCCAAATTAAACTATATATTCCAAATCAGGGCCATTGTTTCCTTTAAATTCCCCGAGAATACATGCGTACATGGTCTTTTCATTTTAATAAAAAAATAAATCCAACTCAGTGGGAAGAAATTTGCAAAGATTTTTAAAATAAGCTGTAATTATTGTCTCTTCTTTCCATCTCAAGAGTATTAAATACTTTTTAATATCCCTTGGTTTCAGGCTAGTTATTTGTTTTGTGTCCAAACAAGGTGCTAATCAAGATAACTTATCACCAACTTTCCAGTAGAAGAATACCAGAAATGACTCTAAAGAATATCGCGATCAATTAAATATTATCCCAGCTCCGGGGGGAAATAAATGAAACACAATATAAGTTCATGGTTATAAAGTCTGAGGGAGGAATCCTAGTTTAAAAAAGAAGAAAATTAATGTAAAAAAAAAAAAATCTTTGTACAAGGGTAATGACACCCAGGGGACTGAAAGAAACGAAATGGGGTTTAACGTCCTAGCTTTGTGCATAATTCGTGCTAATGAAGACGGACTGAAAGAAGTTTAATATTCATACTGAAAGACTTTTAATAAGCCTAATATAGAAAGTATGTATAATGGAATTGTTTTATGAGAAATGGGTGTAGATCTTATCCTGTGACATTTGTCAAAATGGCCCAAACTATCCTCTGCCACAGTAATCGAGTGATCATGGAAATAAAATTTAGAGTAGAATGTCCCGGGGTATGCAAAAAAGAACCACTCGGTTTCTCCGGGTTATCGCACACAAGTAATTATGCGGTTAGATACGAGACATGATTTTAACATAGAAGTGAGACGTAGGCTTTCAGAAGAAAACCCTGCAATGCTCTATGCTGATCCCTGGGTTGAGAGATCTCCAGTTGCGAGAGTCACGATTAGTTAACTGAACATTATTTCAATCCCACTCCCATTTGTATCTATGACACTTGACAGATTAGGTAATCCTATCATCAAATAATTCACTGCTATCAGCTGAAAGCGGTTGCCATGCAAGATAGCCCGCATTTTTCAAGAAATGTATGGGGTAATGTAGATCGCATCCTCTCATTCAAGATCTTATGATCCTTAACATATTTGTTATTTTTCCTCAGAATGGGGCAACAATTGTAACCCCTCTGGAGGACCTACGATTCCCCGGTTGTACGTGACAAGGAGTAAGGTAGCCTGTCCGACCTCGTGAGTTTTTTCGGGTCATCCGGTTTCCTCCCACTGCTAAAAATTGAACCATATGTTAGTCCGGAAATGACCTAGTTTGTGTCGAGTGGACGTTACCCCCCCCCTCTCTCTCTCTCTCTACGAACTTTTGATCCTTAACACATAGTTTAAAGGAGCTAAATCGCTAATATTTGGGACCTAGAAATTGACACAAATGCCTCGCAACGGATATAATAATGTAACATGAATATAATATATAAAGTGATTTTACATTAAATCGTTTCCGTTTTTACTCTAATTTCAAATCAGTTATGTTCGGCGAAATACGCCGAAGTCTCAATCGAATGGCAATCTCTAGTGTCTGGTTATTCCAGTCTACACCGTTAGTATTTATTGCGCATGTTCTCAAGATAAGAATATGATTCGCCGTTTGGCGGGTCCACAAGCTAAAAGCATGATATTTCGTATATTCAGGGGTCATAACCCAGACAGTTACGGTCCAACACGGTCCAATTCGAACCTCTGGGTGATCCACAACCTGGGTATTAAATACTTTTAAGGGTAGCGGAAATTTTTTCGGGCAGTTTCGGTTCGATTTTCACGAAATTTGCACTCAACCGTAATCATGGTGTAACGGCGATATATTTGAACGTTGTTTTTATAATAAAATAAAAACCGTGAGCTGTAAAGGGTTCACAAGATAAAAATAGAAGGTGGCGATCCTATATGCGCCAATATCTAAACAAACCGAGATCTTTCGTTTATAAACATACATTGTCAGTTTTATCAAAATCGTATAAGTTCGGTATCGCAGCAAACCACCATCGACTGTGTTTGCATGGTCAGGGATTTAGAAAAGGAATAAAGTTTCACCTCATTTACTTAGTAATTTTATTAGCCAGAAATAGCCCAGAAAGTGTCTCTAACGATCTAGACCCCGGGAGATTCCCCCCAATCAAGAATTGTTTGCGCCGGACCTGGAGAAGATATACGCGGGACAGACAAGAAACGTGTGCCTAGTGGGAGGTTAACCTGTGTGTATATAGGAGTTATTGTAATAAAGGCCTTGACAGTTAAAATTCAAAGATAAGTAAGCGGAAACGTATTTGATACAAATACGTCCTGATAACCGGGTGAAGTCAATGTTTTAATCATTGAAGTCAAATATATAACAAATAATAATATAAAGAATCTTACCGGCATTTAACCAATAAATTGTGTAAAAAGCTTTGTCAGGATCAAGTGAGGTTGATTGTTCTATTTCACGTCGAGCGCTCCAAAACTATAAATACACAATAAATACAAAAATAAAAGAGAAAAAAAAATCCCAATGGTACTTCAGTGGTTGGGACATTCAACTAACTAGAATATCTATTGTTCTACTTTGGATTTTATCGAGGTTGGGGCGTGCCTGCGGAGATCAACTGTATGAATTGGTAGTGCATATAAAATATCCTAGTTTCAATTCTAAAAAAAGTGCAGTGGGCGGAAGCTCGGTGTTTTGGATTAACATACCTCTCTCCCCCAGCACGTTCAAGGACTATATAAGGGGAGGTAATCGCTATTTCAGCTGTTAAAGCACGAATCCCGTCTTCAGTATAGCCTTGTTGGTGCAGACAAGTTGGACATTTAAGCCCCATTCCAATCCCAGTAATGGTGTCTATTTCGTCTGTACAGTTTTCCAGGTGTAGCTGTCGACAACTGGGATTAGAAGAAAACGTCAGTTCATATTTAAAGGTCCATTTTTCTAAGTCCACGCGATCTGGTTATGTCGGAAGAATTTGTTATTAACGTACCTTATACATACACAAGAATCGAAGTGTAAAAGATGCTGTATAAATTGAGATAAGAAGAAAATCCATTTTATTATGAAACAATGTTATATAGTCCCTAAAACCCTTCTGAACAATCTGACTACATTCTTGAAACATAAATCCTGAAAAATAGAAACCCTTTATTGAAAATTAGTTAATTAATCCCCCCTCGACGCAGCCTCATGGGGGAATTTTGAAACGAGTGTCTGGTCTATGGATTCGTGTACAAGGCGAAAGAAGATGTGATGCCATGCCATACCATACCTTCAGCGGATACATGTCTTGTGTACGAACATGGGACTTTGCTGGTTGCATATCCGACAAAATAATAGATTTGAGTAGATATGGCAATTCATCGACCTATAGATACAACTAGCTTTGACAAAACAGATGGCAATGGTACTTTGCGCTAGCTTAAATGGCTCTATTTTTTTGGTACCATGAAATAGACAAAAATGATTCTAACAGGACATTATTGATGTAATATGAATGTATGTAAAGTGTTTTATAATTCTTAAATAAAATGTTGTACAATGTAATTTCTAATAAATTATGTCCGGTGAAATCTGTGAACAGTTCTAATTGAACGACAGTCGTTTACGGCTGCTTAGAGCATTCTACACATTTTTTAAATTATTATATTATCGTTTGTGAATCAGCCTTTACTAATTACTTTGACATTGTGTTGTAGGATATGATTTTATCTATTCATTACAAAATGGCACCCGAAACCATAGGGTGCACGACTCGTATACTGATTATAAAATGTTAATTGTGTCTTAAATATTGGAACGTATGATTCTATAGTTTCACGGCAAGATAACAACATCAATGTTGATTGAAAGTGGTCAATATCGAATTCTCATTCGTGTTTTTAATTATGGAACATATTGAGTTAGAGACTTAGCTCCTTTAACATGGAAATAAAACATACATTATGCAAAAGCTAAATCTGCCTACCGCAGGTCTTTCTTGGACATTAATTAACTTATCCAGACCATAATCAACTCTTGATACCATCGTTACCCTGCGATATTTTATGACGACCGAGACTAGCCTAAAATTCAATGGCTAATATCTCTGTTCAGCGTGAAGCAATTTGACAGAAATTTTCATCATATTTTGTTTTCATTATCTATGTTATAACTGTCAGCACTTTATCTAATGTTACCTAATGCCCCTTTAACTAGATGAAATCAACACAATAATAATTACTATTCGCTTGTTTCGGATTAAATGTTCCAAACATACTGGAATGAAAGCATGTATACAGGATTGACACACAGTGTCAGTGCACACCAACACCCATAACATATTATTATTACTAACCTAGAAGCCACAAACTCATGAGTATTATTAATACTGAAGGCGATTCTGTTCTCAAAGGAAAATCATCTCCAAAAGGCCTGAAACCGGTAGAGTTGATAACCATTTCATATTTAACATGATCCGATGGAAATGTTGACTTGTAAGTTCTATCTTTAGATACACCTAAATCGACCAGAGTCGTAAACCCTACAAATGAGTAAAACGACAACATATCGGCACCAAATTTGACCATTGGGCACTTAAAACCATTAACATCCTGAAATAAATGTAAGTTATTAAACATACATGTCTTTCTTTAGATCTGAAATTGTATCTAAATTATTAATTAGACATTAATTAACTGATCGAGATCAAAATTAACTCTCGATGCCATCTCTAGCCTGTGATGTTTACTGGATTAGGATCCAATTTGCTAGTCAACTTTCATTCATGATTTAATCATGAAATGGATAATCGAGACTATATTTTTTATCGTACAGACTTTAGTAATGATGATCCAGGCTGGGTCGAAAATTACATCGCTAAATTCTCGGTTCAGAGTGGATCAATTTGACTGAAATTTTCAGCAAATTGCCTTTACATTATCTTGTTGTTAACTATTATGGTGAAAACTGCCAGCTCTTTAATCTTCCATAATGTATCTTTAAATCAAATAATATAGAACAATAAAAGTATAACACTTTCATTTATGAGCGACATTTGAAGGATTGTTAATCCCTTGTAAACCACAATATTGTGATTGGTGCATCTCTAAACGAAATATCAATCCAAATATGATTCAATTCCATTCATAAATGACAAAGATATCATGAATTGAAACTTTCGAATCCACCGTAGACGATACGTCCTAAGATATATAGAAAATATAGTCAGTTTCGCGGAATCATATATGGGACTCTACCCCTACGCGCAAGAGAATTATTGAAGTAAAATTGAACCATATGTTAGTCCCGATATGACCTAGTTTGTTTCGAGTGGACGTTCATACAAAATGTCCGATGTCCAAAATAAGGCCTATTGTATATTAACATAACAGCTGAGCAACTTGTCAACAAGGACAAAGAAATGGACATTCGGTTCCAGAGTCTGAAATCGTCTGAAAAGCCGGAGTATCAAGTTACTGACTGGTTTTAATGAAACTTGTTATAGAGTTTTAGGTTAGTTATATAATAAGACAAATGTTTTGAACCAAAGAAAAATATTTTAGACGTTATAATTTTTCTTACCTTGTAAATCGGTTTCAAATTATGATTGGTTAAATGTTTCAACAATCTCCGTTGACAACAAAATATAGGGTGGGATACAAACTAGAAATAACAGTTAAAATATAGTATAGAACTCTAAAAATAATTAGAACCGCTTAAAAGCAGTACTGATGTGTTTCGGTACGTGAGGTCACGTCAGGTCACGCCTTGTCACGTCAACGATACAGTTACATCATTAACTATTGGTATAGTAACATCCAATACCAATTAAAGTGGAAAAAACCTGTCATTTTGAACTTTTAATAAAACCGGAAGTTGTCAGTATATGCAAAGGTTAAGGGTCATTGATCGGCTAGGTCACCAGATAGTAGGTCAAAAGTAAAACCAAAGTCAAAGTGAAACCGAAAGTAAACAAAATCGAAATTGAAAATCGACTCCCTAAGAATTATTACCATTGTTATAGAGTCTTAGGTTAGTTATATAATTAGACAAATGTTTTGAACCAAAGAAATACATTTTAGACGTTATAATTTTTCTTACCTTGCAATTCGGTTCAAATTCATAAGCTATGGTAAAAACCGGGTTAATCCATAGTTCAAACAATCTCTGTTGACAACTAGGGTGGCATACAAACTAGAAATAACAGTTAAAATATAGTATACAACTCTAAAAATAATTAGAACCGCTTAAAAGTAGTACTGATGTGTTTCGGTACGCGAGGTCACGTCAGGTCACGCCTTGTCACGTCAACGATAAGGTTACATCATTAACTATTCGTATAGTAACATCCAATACCAATTAAAGTGGAAAAAACCTGTCATTTTGAACTTTTAATAAAACCGGAAGTTGTCAGTATATGCAAAGGTTAGGGTTCATTGAAAGGCTAGGTCACCAGATAGTAGGTCAAAAGTAAAACCAAATTCAAACTGAAACCGATGGTAAACAAAATCGAAATTAAAAATTGACTCCCTAAGAATAATTGCCATTTGGAGTAAGTTCAATACAAAAAAAAAGTTTTCGAAAATCAGAATCAAAATGGCGGCTTAATATCGATTTGAAGGTTTTTTGTAAAATCCAATACGGCGGCCAAAAGATTGAACATGTTATCGAACAAGTTCTCTGAAAATGAACTATTCATGTTCGGGAAAAATCCGGAAGCCGTCACAAAAAAATTTAACCTGCCATTTTCAAGGCATCATTGTGTTCCTTATCCTAACTAAGTTTCAACTCGATGCCTCAAATACTAAAGGAGATACGCCATCTCGAATGTCTTAAACATTGATGCTAAATCTAATGGACGAACTTCCAAATTTCGGAAAAACGTCAGTCAGAGCTCCTTTCGGGGATTCGTCCAAAGAATCCAAAAATGAAAACCCGACGAAGATCCATTGACACATAACCGAGATATGGGTAATCAGAGATTATTTATTTTCTTTCCCAGCCGTAAAACACTTCTTGTTTGTCAAAAAAGATCGATTTATATTTTATAACTAGTTGCACGGAGGCCCATAATATCTACATCGACATAATGTTTGAACCATGCACAGTGTTATCTGCAACTTCTGACTAAAATCCCCCGCCTCCTCTCTCCCCAAAGAAAATATATAAACAAAAACTCTTACGAAAACATTACGTGTTTCGTACCGAAACATTACTTAATTAGCTATATGGGCGACGCGGTGACTCGGCTCGCTAACCTGGAGGCCCAGTGTTCGATACTGGTGTGGCACCCTCTTATCAGTGATGCAGGACAGAGGGTTTGGCAAGCGAAACGTATAGTGGCTCGGATATGGGGACCAAAAACCGTGCACACATTGGCGTGCACGTAAAATAACACTTGACAGTTGGGATTCGATATGAGTGCACAGGAATCTGACCTTCTATCCGTATATATATGCATACACCATGTCGTACCAGACAATATATAATAAAAAACAACAGGAATGCAATGCCTGTTGAAAACTCGATCTTACCTGCTCTCGCTTCGGCTCGTTTTTTTTCAACAATTCGTAATGTCAGGCAACCAAACTTCTGTCAATTCACTCAGATATGTTTTTTCTTCAATCTAGTCGTTTTGATTTGCATAAATACTTCCACAAAACGATATCATTTCCACTTGTTTCCAATATTTACATCGTTTTCGTCCATTTTCATTTTGTCACGACCGCCATGCACCGACGTCACACAAATAGACGCATTCGACAGACCTCTTTTTTTTGTTGCTGGGGTTGAGGGATTCTACCGATATTCGCCGAATATATATAGACGTTTCACTGACGCATGAGACGACCCTACTCCTTATTATGTGTTAACCATTCGGCCATTTTAGTAGCTTTTCATGTAAGCAATTTTAAAATGGGAGCTAAAGAATAAAATTTGCCAATTTGTTTTAGTTTTTAGTACCGTAGCTTTTCATGTAAGCAATTTTAAAATGGGAGCCATAGGATAAAATTTGCCTAATTTTTGTGATTTAAACAATGTTTTTTTTTTAAATCAACTTTATAAATACGATATTATGTGATATCAATATAATTTTTAGTTCATCTGATTTAACATTTCGTATTTTAGAAA